GGAGGGACTGCTCTAAGGAGGTGGGTTGTGGGGTGTCCAGCGCAGGGAACACTCTGGAAAAGACCCTGGCCCCTGTGGAGCTGGGAGCCCCCTGTGATCCGCTGAGTGACGGTGACAGCCCCGAGACATCCACCCCGTGCTCCCAGGAACCTCACGGGGCAAAGGGACTCTGCAGGTGTGATTGAAGTGGTGACCTTGAGGGGGGAGGTTACTTCGGGCCGTCCAGGTGGCCTGATGTCATCGCAGGGGTCCTTGCAGGAGGGGGCAGGAGGACGGGAGGCAGAGACTGGGCGACTCTGCGCTGCTGCCCTGGACGGGGGGACAGGCCCCGAGCCGAGGTCCACGGGAGCCTCCGGGAACAGCAGACGGAGGAGCGGACTTTCCCCTGCAGCCTCCGCGCGGCCTGCGGGCACCCGCGTCTCAGGCCCGCAAAGCCCACTGGGCCTCTCACCTCCAGGGCTGTCGGGTCAGTGTGACGCTTTAGCCGCTCAGCTGTGGCTTTTGGTCTCAGTGCCACCAAGACCCTGAAGGTGGGCTGGGCAGCAGGGTCCTCCAGCCATGGGGCACCAGAGCCTGGGCCTCAGCTCCTATGTCGCTGGAGAGAAAACCCAAGGGTGGGGTGTTCGGCCCCCTGTGAAGAGGGTGCGCGTGGTCGGCCCGTCCCGCCCCACCCCAGGCACCCTCCCTAGGGCCCTGGGTTTACCCCCCAGACACACCTCTTCCCTCTGTCAGCGGGGCTGGGGCCATTATGGGGGCCTGGGCCCCAAAAATGCCCCCGTGCGCAGGTGCCCACCGGTGCCAGCCTGTCCTGGGGTCGTCCTATACTTCCTTCTGCCTGACAACAGACCAAGGAGAAAACCCCAGTCTGGGACGGAAGATCCTGTACTGGGGACAGTGGCGTGGACAGGAGTTGGGAAGAGGCCCTCGGGCAGTGCGGCGTGGGGCTGACACTGGACACTGGGCCAGGGGCCCAAGGCCAGGAGTCCAGGGAAGGGACACTGCCGCAGTCCCCGAGAGACACTTTCCGGCCTGGCACTGGGTGTCCCTGGCCCACCACCCCCGAGAGCCCTCTCCTGTCATCAGGCCCCGGCCGGGCAGCCCTGCCTGTCCCCATGCGCTGGGGAAAATCAATAGCTCCAATATGTCAGCTCTTGAGAGGCTCAGCTATAAATTACCCGCCATGAAGCTCACGGGCCCACAGCCCCATTAGTGGGACATTAGGCCTCCCGTGAAATTTCTCTGTGTGCTTTGAGATAACGACGCGGAGCTGTTGGTTTATGTCCCGGGAGGGGGAGGCGGGACCAGGGACAAGTCAGGGCCGGCTGGGCAGGGAGGCCCCGGAGCACTGGTGGCTTTTCCCACTCGGGGCTCCACGGCATCGGAGGGTCAGATAAACACAGCGTTTGGGGACGTCCGGGCCTTCCAGCCAAAGGCCAAGGGAATAGGACGCACAACTGGGGGACTCGGAGACGCAGGACTTTGCCCCGGGTCGGACACTGCCAGGAGGCAGGGGTTCTACGGTCAACAACTGTGACAAACCACCGCGAACTGGGCGACTTAGAGCAACAGACGCTTGTTGTCTCCCGCTCTGGAGCCAGAAGTCCAAACCCAGGTGCCAGGGCCCGCTCCCCTGATGGCTCTGGGGAGAATCTGTCCCAGGCCCCGCGCCCGTCTTCGCGTGTTGCCGGCAGCGTCGCCCCAATCTCTGCCTCTGTGGTCCCACGGCCTCCCCCTGTGTCTCTGTGTCCTCTCCTGGTCTTATAATGACACTGGTCATTAGACTCGGGGCCACCCTAACCCAGCGCAACCGCATCTTGACTAACCACGTCCCTATTTCCAGATAGGTCATGTTCTTGTGTGCCCGGCGACATAGATTTAGGGGGCACTGTCCAAGCCAGTACAGCATCTCCAGTCCTCACGGCAGCCAGAGTGGGTGTGGGGCGCCCATTTTACAGCTGTGGCTGCTGAGGCTCGAGGACTTAAGTTGTCCGTCGCAGGTGTCTCATTTCTGTCCCCAGTCCAGGACAGTCACCGAGACAGAGATGGGCCAGTGGCCCCTCAGAAGCTGGGCCTCCCCGAGGTGAAGCCTCAGCTCACACACTGCTGTTCTGGGCAGCTTGTGCCCAGCTGACCTAAAGCGTCCCCCCCGGGACAGCTGCACCAGCCTTGGCCAGTTGCCCCTCCCACGGCTCCATCCCTAACCTTGGGGCCCTCCGATGGACACCTCCTCCAGGAAGCCCCTCATGGGCCGCACACCAGGATGATTCTGGCCCATTACCCCATGCACAGTGGGTGCCCCAGGTGCGTGCAGGGCGAGTTCTGGGGTGGGACCAGTGGGGCGGGGCCCCGTGAGGAGGGCCTGGGCACACAGGTGCCTCTGTTGACACAGCAGCTCTGAGCACAGCCCTGGGTGGGGCTTCTGGGGTGGGGAGGATTCCCAGGTGTCCTGAGCTCAGAACACCCCCACCGCACCTCCCATGCCCTGGTGCAAGAGCTCCCGGGGACAGGGAACCGGTCCCACGTCTGGTGCTTCTCCCACCGTCTTCCCAGGACACAGGTGCAGGAGGGACGTTCCAGAGGCAGAGGTGGCAACCTCAGATGGTGGACACACACTAGGGGTCAAGGGGGCTCCTCTGGGGCATCCCTAGGGCAGATTCTGGCTCAGGGGAAGGGGCCTGTCCAGGACCACTGGCCACACATGATGTGGCACACAGGCCAAGGTCCTAGTCATTCCCAGATGGCAGCCGTGGACGAAAACTGTGGCAGAATCGCAGAATCGGAGTTGCCCAGGCCCATCCTGGGGGGACAAACTCCTCCCACCACCAAGCGGGGGGACAAAAGCTACAGTTTTCGGGCTTTCACCTAACCCTGCAATTGGAATGGTGTGAATTCCTCTCTGAGATTCTGGGCATAGGAAATGACGTGTTTTATTGTCTACATCAAAATAAATTTACTTCAAGGCCTTTACTTCCCAGAGTGTGTTACAGCCCAAGCAGGTCCCCTGCCCGCTGCTCCAGAGGAAGCCAATGCATGGAGACAGTGGGGTCATGGCAGAGACAGAGTTTAATATCGCAGGTGCCGTGTAAGGAGAGGGGAGGGAGTCCTCAAATCTGTCTGCTGAGAATTTGGGAGAAAGGGTTTGTAAAGGGAGTTGGGCAGGCGGTCTGCTGGCTGGCTGGGCTCCGGGCGGAACCACAGGGGTGTAGGAATTGTCTTCTGTCTTGTGTTGAGTCGGTTCTTGGGTGGGGGTCACAAGACCAGTTGAGTCCGTTCCTCGATATGGGCCGCCGGTCTGGGTGGGTCGGCCGTCCCACCAGAATGCAGGGCCTGGAAGCTGTCTCAGAAACCAGCCTCAGGTTTCACAGGGGTGATGCTATCCGTGGGAGCAATGAAGAAAGCTAAGAATCTTCATGCCCATCAGCTGTGTGACTCCTGAGTTGGGAGCAATTACAGGACAGCCAGCTGGGGGACTAAGGCTGGTTATATATGTTTCCCCTACCACAGTTCCCACTTTGTGGCCCTTTATTAATTTTATAAAGGACAGCTTCACAGGGGAGAAATTTAAGTTCTGTCTTGCTGTGAAGGGCCCCCTTGCCTTCCGCACAAGTTGGAGGTGAGCCTCCTGTCTTTAGGGTGGTCCCGTCCCTTCAGGGTGCTCCTTGTCGAGCTGTCGTGGAGAGCGGGTCCCTGTCTGTGGCCTGGAGAGGGCACGGAGCCTTCACACCGGCCCAGCCCCAGCCGTAAGAGTGCTGGCTGCCGCGCAAAGCACTGCCCCTTTGGGACACCGTGTGGGAGTGAGGCAGGGCCCCGCTATTAGCAGAATGGCCTACAGCACCTCCAGATGCCTGAGAAGTCACCTCCCTGTCTAGACGGCTGCCCTTAGACACCCCGCTCCCCCTACACTCTTTTTGGCACAAAACACAGTTTTGGAGGAAAACAAAAGCATCTGAACTCTACCTGGGGAGAAAGGACCTCAAAGTTTCTGGGATTTGAAACTGTTTGCCCCATGACACAGGGAGGGGGGCAGTTATTTTTTTGTGTTGAGCCACAGCTTCAAGAACAAAACACATTACGAATTCAACATAGTAGCCCGCCCTGTGGTAAATCAGTTGTATCTGGTTTATATTTTCCATGACGCACCATAGCTTTTATTCGGCATAAGGTACACATAAGAGAATATTCAGTATGGCCGGTTCTGAAGATGAGACGTCCCTAAATCACAGGTCCTGGTTCAGACGTGCATGTGATTTCCACAAACCACCTCCCCACGGAGAGTGGCGACGTCCGGAGTGTGCCCCTACGTGGTCTGCAGCCAGAGCCGGGGGCAGCCTTGTGCCCCGAGGACGAACGGCTCCAGCAGCTTTCCAGCGAAGCCAAGTGGGGGACCCGGCAGAGCAGCGCGCCCTGGGACCCCTGGGGTGGTCGTGAAGGTCCCCCCCCAACTCCCACCGAGGCGCCGCAACTTCAGTTCGAGCAGGGACGGCCGCGGGCCCGCGCGTCGGCTCGGGGCTGCCCGCTGTCCCCGCGCGGCGCCGACCGGCCGGGAAGAGGGCGCGCGGCTGGCGAGGGCACAGCCCCCAGCGAGCGCAGCCACGGAGGGTCCTCTGAGGCCAGGACACGAGATCTTCTCGAGCCGGAAGTCCTGGCAACGCACCAAAACAGACCCGGCGGCGGCCAGGCCCGGGCAGGAGCGGTCGGGCGGCGGCAGGGCCCAGCGCCGGGCCTGGCCCACCGAGGACACCCTTAGGGCGGGCCCGGGGCCTCTCTCGGGCAGGACGGCGCCTGCCCACTCCCGCCGCCAAGGACCGGGCGGACGCGCTCGTAGCGGAAGGGATGGAGAACTACATCTCCCGGCATGCCCTCGCAGTCGGGCCTGCGACGGAAAAGTCCGGATGCGTCATTTCCGGTGCGCGACTGGGCCCACGTTCTGGAGTCGTGAGCGGAGCCCTGCCATGACATCCGGGTTCCGGTTTCGTGCGACGGATGTGACGCGAGCGCGGCGCGCCGCGGAGCCGAAGTCGCAATGAGCCGTGTCCTGTGTGCGCCGGCGGCCGGGTGAGCCCCGTGAGGTCTCGGCGGGACGAGGGCGGTTGCCGGCGGGCGGGCGGAGCGCTCAGTGCTTTTTCTCTTCCAGGGCCGTCCGGGGGCTGAGGCTCGTGGGCTGGGCTTCCCGAAGCCTGCATCCGCCGCCCGGTGGCCGGGCCCGGGCCCAGTCCGCGGGCGACGGGGAGGAGGACGACCCTGACCGCCCGGTTCAGTTTTCCTCCAGCAGAGGCATCCCGTTACGCTGGAGTGTGGAGCACTCCCTGGGGAAGGGACATCAGCGGCCCTGGTGGAAAGTGCTGCCCTTGAGCCTCTCCCTCATGGTTCTGGTCATCTGGTTCTACCTGAGGCCGGAGAGCGACGCGGACCAGTGGTTGAGACAAGCGCTGGGAGAAGAGGCGCCGGAGCCCAGTGATTCTGCTGAGGAGCCTGGAACTGAGGCTGCCTACGGGGCGAGGACTTAACGCGGTGCCCGCGGGGCTAGCAGGGAGGGAACAGGCAGCCGCCCTTCGGATTCGATGTCGCGTTTGACCGAGACCGTTTCTGCCCCGGTAATGCGTGCGTCTTCAGCGCTGAAGGATTTGGATGGCGCACTTGGCCGCGTTGATGCCCATGGAGGCCGAGCAGGATGTCACCAGATCGGAACCTGCTCCTTGCCTGACGCTTGACGCCCAGCGACTCCATCCACAAGACTTTTCAGAGCCGTAGGAAAGGTTTTACTTGCACCGTGTGCTGTTGGGTTTGTGATGTCTTCGTACAGCGTAGTCACGTTTCCAGAGCACTTCTTGTCATTTGCTTTGTGAGACAGACTAACTGGCAGAAGTGTTAGCCTTTATTTTATAATGTACTGTGTTGTGTGTAAATAATATCTATTGATGTTTTACACACTAACAAATTGAAAATAAACTTTGATTTTATAATACAGAATTAAGACGATTCCCTTTTCTGCATTTAGTTAAGAAAACGGGTATTTTAGTAAACCAACAGCCACCTTTTTCAATTTATTTGTTTTCCTTTTTTTTCCAGAGTGGGAACTGAGAACTAACCTAAATGTAAATTGTGGAATACATTATTAAATGGTACCAGAAATAAAGAACTTTCTAAGCTTTCTGCAAAACTTTATTTTTGTTTAGCAAGGCAACAATTTTCTGAGCAGAATACAACTGATAATTATTTTTTCCACAAATTATGGGCACGATTTTGGGTAACCTAGATGATGTTCTTTTTTCTAAGTATTAATTAGGAAAAACCTGCTTTATTCTGAATTAGATATAAGATACACAAAAGGAAACATTTATTTACTTAAACTTCTGTTGGAAGCTTTTACGTTAACTTGTTTGTGGCGCTGAAGTTAATTGGGGTTTTTTCTGACTTGGCTGTTTGAAGAACAGGTCCTTGACCCCTCTGGCCCAATGGCAGTATACCGACCGACTTCTCACGAGGTCTGCGTGCAGAAGCGCTCCAGGTGTCTGGCACACCTTGGCAACTCGTGCTTGTGAGAGGAGTGGGTTGGATACAGTCTTTTTTTCAAAGACTGTGAGACCGAGGTTTGGAATAATTGATCTAATCTTAGCTCACGTTACACCATCCCAGTGGGGGCAAAGGACTTAGGTGTCCTTTTTTTGGCCTGGTGTGGTTGTGACTATTTGGTTGTGAATCATTTGGTTTGAGCAGAAGTCATTCAAACCCAAAAGCTTACTTTTACTTTACTTGCAGGGGGGAAAAATGTCAGAACTAGTAAGAACTTTTGTGTTAATTAAAAGTAACTTTCATATGACAAAAGCAATATATATATTTTTTTTCTGGAACAGTTAGACCCTGAAATAAGCAAAAGGAAGAGAATCAGAAACACTGATAATCCTACCACCTTGTGGTAACCATTATTTGCTTTTCCAGGTTATTGTCATGCATATGTAAATACACCTTTTTCCAAGGCACGAATGGGATGGTAAACCTGAAAACATGATAGCAGCTTTAAAAAACCAAAGTGGGATAGCGTCGTGTTTGACGAAGCTGCCTCCAGGCCAGCTATCAGTAAGGGATGTTCCACTTGGTGACTTCACACTTGTGATGTGGATGAACTTTGTCATGAGCAAAAGGAAGACAGAGGTCAGTTGGGGACAGTGGGCAGACCTTCCCCACACCTGGAGTTTTCAAGGGGTGACAACAGCAGATTGACAGGCGAACAGCTAACTAAATCCTTTGCTTATTCAACTTTTTGTAGTGCAGTTGTCTTATTTCCCCAGCCGGGCTGTGGCTTTTATTTTTCCCAGGGTACTTGACACATTGACACCCCAGATAAGTGCTCAGCAAGCGTGAGAGGGAGAGCCGTTATAAGTATGCTGGGACAGAAGCAGTTGCACCGATTTGATTTGTAAGATGTTAAATTGTTGGGCAGAAGGAGGAGGAAATGGTTCATAAAGGATCTCCAAGATCTATTTCTCACTCCTCTGGAGAATTCTTGGGCCCTGTTCCTCCTCACTTCATTCTCCTGCTTGGTTTATGTTACGAAAATATGTTCTTAATTTTATCATCATTTTAATTTCAAGATATAAATGTAATGTTTATAGATGTAATAATTTATTTAGACAATGTAAACATAGAAGAAATCGTCCTGCCAGGCCGTGATAACTTTTGTTATTTTACTGTATCGTCAGTATTTCGGAAGATAACTTACATCTTGGAGCAAATGTATGAAGGCGTTTTCTCGTGCTTTTAACCTAAATGGGAGCTTTTTTTAGACAGAGTCTCGCTCTGTCGCCCTGGCTGGAGTGCAGTGGTGTCCTCACAGCTCACTGCAGCCTCTGACTCCTGGCCTCAAGCGATCCTCCCGCCTCGGCCTCCCACGGTGCTGGGGCTGCGGGCCTGAGCCGCTGTCCGGCGGGAACACGTTATTTTCACGCAGGTCGCAGCCCTCCCAGCCTGCGGCGACCGCGGGTCTCCGGAGATGGAATTCATGACGATTCTGCCCCTTCCTTAGAGCACGACTCTAAGGGCTGGAGTCCTGCGGGGCAGCCACCGCCGTCTAGTTTTAGACCCGCGCCCTCCGCCCCACCGCCCGGGTGGGACACTCGTAGGCCGGGGTGGGCACGGGGGCGTGCCCGGGTGGGCGCGGGGGCGTGGCCGGGGCGTGGCCGGGCCCGGCGGGGGGCGCGGTGGGCTCGCGCGGGGGAACGCCGGGGCGGGGGCGGCCGGCGGCGCATGCGCGCTGCATTGTTTTGACTGAAAATGCCGTCGGTTTCGAAAGCGGCGGCGGCGGCGGCGCTGAGCGGGTCCCCCCCGCAGACCGAGAAGCCGACCCACTACAGGTCAGTGCCCGCGCGGGGCCTCCGGGGCGCTGAGGGGGTGTGGGGGGCGGCCCCGCGCGCCCCCGCTCCGCGCGCGCCCGCGCCCCGGCCCTGGGCCTGGGGAGTCTCCGCGGCGGGCCCGGGCCGCCCCTCCTGCCGCCCCCGCCGCCCGCTCCGGGCCTCGGCGCCGCGGGGACCCGGGCTGCGGCCGCCCGAGGTCGGAGCGGGCGCCCAGGTCTGCGTGCGCCGGGCTCGGGCCGGGCTCCCAGGGCGCGGTGCCGCGCCTGAGGTGGGGATCCGTGCGTGGCCGGCGTGGGTGCGCGCCGGCCCGTCGGGAAGCCGAGTGGGGGCCACGCCCGGGGTCGGGACGGCGCCTGGGGTCGGGGGGCGCGCCCGGGGGCGGGGACCGTACTCGGGTCGAGGGGCGCGCCTGGGGTCGGGGACCCTGCCGGGGGTCGGGGACCGTGCGTGGCCGGGGTCGGGGCGCGCCTGGCCCGTCGGGAATCCGAGTGGGGGCCACGCCCGGGGTCGGGACCGCGCCTCGGGCTCGGGGGGCGCGCCTGGGGTCGGGGGAAGAGCCCGGCGGGCTGCGGGGACAGCCGGCGGGGTCATCTGGACTTCCAGTGGGGGGCGTCGGGCCCCGGCCGGCCGGTCCCGCCCCCGCCCTCGAGCCCGGCCGCCCAACGGCGGCGGTGGCGGTGGAGGCGACCCGCAACGCTGTTTGTCTTTTTAGGTATCTAAAGGAGTTTAGGACAGAGCAGTGCTCCCTGTTTTTGCAGCACAAGTGCACCCAGCACAGGCCATTTACCTGTTTCCATTGGCATTTCCTAAATCAGCGTCGCCGCAGACCCCTCCGCAGGCGCGATGGCACCTTCAACTACAGCCCGGACGTGTACTGCTCCAAGTACGACGAGGCCACCGGCGTGTGCCCCGACGGCGACGAGTGAGTGGCCGGGCGGGCGGGCTCCGCGCGCCTGCACCCCTGGGCCTGGCCGTGGCGCCTGCGGCTCCGGGTTCTTCGCAACGCCTGGCACCTGGCGATGGGTCGCGTTTTCCCTGCGGTTTCCAGTGACAAGTGATGGCGGTGGGGGGAACGTTTCCCTGTTTTTAGGCCAGTTCGGGAAGGGTTGTGTGTGTGTCAGGGACAACCCTTGTGTGAGTCAAACCGATCTGGCTTCATTTCCCACTTTTGATTCCGCGCAGTTCTCCAAGTTGGATGCATCAGAACCGACCCTTAGAGGCGGGGCTTTCAGGTGTGGGACCATTTCGTACTAGTCGATTGCTTTCCCGGCAGAGCCTGTTGGAATATTGGTTCACACTGTAGAATGTATCTGGAATGTTTCCCTTTTCGATGTTTAGTTTTTTAAAAGATTGATAGGAAAGTTATCTGCAGACTGCCATTTATGTAGCACTTTTAAAGTTTGAGAGATCAAGGTTTTGTTTTGGTTGTTTTTTTTTATTTTAACAAGTTTCCTAATGGTGTTATGAACAGATGTCTTTATTTTGAAATATGTACAATGGGAAAACAGGGAGAGTACTAATCAGATTCACATGATGAGCGGAAGGTGGCGTCAGGAGGTTTTACTTTCTTCCCGTGGGCTGCTTGGGAGCACGCAGGGTGGTGCATTCCTGCCTAGAGGTGAGGTGGCAATTGCAGTCTTCACAGCTCCGTCTCCTGATCTTTTGAACGGACCTGATTGTCTGGGGACCCTTCCTTTGGAAGGCTGCTGTCACCCCACCACGCACAGAGACCCACGCAAAGTCTGTTTTCCTTTATTTTTCAACAATGCTCAGGCCAGGGAGTAAACTTTTGATCTGTGGTGATCATGTTATCAACTTTAACACACTCATTGAAAAGTTTTTCAGATAGTTAAATAGTGTTGTTACGGCAGCTTGATGACTGAACTTCAAATGGCGTAGCCAGCCCATTTTGGTGAGGCTAGTGTTCAACTTCTGTGCAGTTCTAAGAATGCATTATTCAATTGCTTTTTGAGCCGCTGTTTTCTGCAAACAGGTCTTTAGAAGACACGTGTTTGTCTAGCTGAGATCTGGGCTCAGTCTCAAATTTCCCGTGGTCAAACCCATCATCTCTCCAGACCATGGATCTTGAGCTGAGAGTGGGGCCCCTGCTGCCTGACCCTGGTTTGGGGGATCCCTGGACGTGTGAAGACCAGTAACCCAGCTTGTCGTATCTCAAAGAGTTGAGTTTGGGGGACTAATTGGCAATATTCATTGGTGATGCCTTTAATGCATTTAAAGAGAGCATCTTTTAATAGCTGTTTGGGTTCCTGAGTCAGGGTGCCCTGGTGTGGGGGCGCCAGGGTGGTGTCCAGATCTTACGGGGGTGACCAGCACTGCAGTGGACACATGCCTGTGGGTGGTGTTTGAAAGCTGTGCTGAAGTAGTAATTAGATAATAAGCAATTATTTATTACAAAAACATTAGCATGAAGTCTAAGTGGCTTGCAGTTTATCGTTGACAAACGTAGGTGGGACTGAGATGCTTGTTTGGTGTTTTTGTTTTGGATGCGTCCTCTGTACATCCACACGTAGTGAGAGAATCATACACGTCTTGTTAAAGATTTTGTTCGTAATTTCTGTGGAGCACATGATGTGGCTTGCTCCAGCCCTTTAGGACGTGTCTGGCAGGCTGTCTCCCTGGGACTCTCTCCTTAGCAATTACCACTCAGCCCATGGGAGAGGGGCTTCCCCCACTGCCCGGACGGCACAGCCAGAGCTCGTCCTGCTGAGTTAGGTATCCGGGTTCATGCGGGTTGTTAAATAGATGATACTGCCTTTCGGAGCAAGGACAGGGCCTCTTCCTGTATTTCAGTTCACCGGTTCTTAAAATTTGTATTTTGGGCCTATGTATTACCAACCTGTTATTTTAAAACACGAGTGTCTGTCCAAGAGCAATAGACCCTTTAGCCAGTGTCAGGCGGAACACAGCCCTCGTTGCTCTTGGTGCTGGTGGGGGCACCCTGGGGCTGAGTCCGGGGCAGGAGGGGCCGGGGACCCCAGGGGGGTTTGCACCCGGCTGCATCCTCCCTCTGGCCTTACTCTCCTCTGTGCCCATCCCTGCTGCCCCCCTCCATGTCACCCCCACCATCTCCAGCCCCACCGTGGGCGCCCCTGCTGTCACCCCCTTTTCCCAGTGAGTAGTCTTTCTGCACGCCCTTGTATCAGCCCTTCCTCCGGTTGTGCCCCCAGAGGTCACTTCTCAGTGTCCTCCCCCAGCCTTCCTTGGGCACTCTCACTGTCCCCTCTTGGTGGGCCCCTGTGCCGTCGTCACCAGCCCCCCATGGGCACCCCTTTCCTTGGTGGGCGGCCACCCACCCACTGACAGCCCTCTGCCCACGACCGGCCGTGGTGGTGGGCCGCCAGGTTCCTCTGCGTCCCGCCCCCTCACCAAATGCCCTTTGTTCTAGCGGACACGCCCCCTCCCCGGTGCGGGGCACAATTGGTCCTGTCACGTCATGTGCACCGGGCCCCACCCTTGTGGGAACCAGCCTGGCAATGTCGGCCAAGTGGGGGCCAGGCCTGGCTGAGGTCCTGTGGGCAGCGGCAAGCCCATGAGTGCGGGGCGTCCGGGGCCAGACGCAGCCCGACGCTGCTCCCGCTCCCCACACGGGCTGTGGACATTCAGGGCGCCGGGGTCTCCACACTTGAACCCAGGTGTGGTTGGCACCGCCAACTTGCACGAGAGCACGTGTGCGCAGCTTTCGGGGAATGGTCAGGTGGTTTGTTTTAAGTGGACGCCTGTTCTGATCAATGAGAAGGAAAGGCCTCTGCGCGGAACCAAGGCCCGCCCCCGCCAGGGTCTGTTTCATCGGGAAAACAGTCGGCAGCTGCAGGGTCACGTGCCCTCCCTAACCCCCCCGCAGCGGACAGGCTGCCTGGGCGTGGCCGCCAGCCCTTCAGTGTTTCTGCTTTCAGTGAAAAACGGCCTCACCCCCTTCACGTGGCGCGACCCTCCGGGCTGCGGTAAGGTCTGTCTTGTCCTTTCCGGGCCCCAGCGGGCCACCCCCCAGGCCTCTCCTGCATGTGGGGCTTCTGGGCCAAACCGCTGCCGGGTGGCCGAGGGGCTGTTACCTGCTGGTCTCCACCGTGTGTTCCACGGCATCTGGTGGGAGGACGTGTGAAACGTCCTAGGGTCCGTGTCTCAGCAGGACTGACTGTCGCCGGCCCGTCTTACTGTCCGGGCCTGTTTCTGCTGAAGGGTCCCCCTGCGATGCTCTGACGAGTCGAACGCCTTGGCACCGGGGTCCCAGGTGCACCTTCCCCTGGCCGCAGGGTGCTTACAGCTGTTGCTGCTTGACCAGGTGCCATCCACGCACTTGGCTTGGGCGTCTGGGGCGAGGGGACCGCCCAGAATGTCAGGGCACAGTGTTTAAGAGTCAGGGGCTACTCGCAGCCCAGAAGACATGATTTTGCTGGTTCCGAGTTGCGCAGCTCAGCGGAATCGCAGTCTGGTGACTGAGCTGGGATCCGTGAGGGGCACGTAGGAAAATGTGAGAAACGCTCCCAAGGCTAAGTTGTCTCTCCACCAACTGATGGCAGCGCCTGGGCCCCTCCTGCCTTGGCGTGGGGGTGGGGTTGGGGGAAGCTGGGACAGAGGGAGGTGGCCTCGGCCGGGGTGGATGGGAGACGCCTCTGCCCAGAGAGGCTCCTTGGGAGAGGAAGGAGGGCCACGTCAGGGAGCGACGGGGTGTCCCCACCCTGCCCAGGGAGCCAGCGCAGCCTTGGCAGACGGGCTGGGGGCGCAGGGCCGATGTGGGGTTAGCTGGCCCAGTGTCCGAGGGGAGGGGCACGCCAGAGACAGCCCCTCCAGCTCTGCGCCCCAGCCCCACCATTCGCCCCGTTGCTCCCCCATCACCTTCCTTGCTCAGTCTCCACACCGCGCCGCGCCTCGGTGGTTTGTGTGCCGTGTTCTGGACCCTCATTGGAGCCCAAGTCCTCGAAGGCTGGGAGGCTGTCACGTGGCCCCGTGTGTCCCTCCAGGCTGTGCAGTCCCCAGACCAGCTGTCAGCAGCCCCTGGAGACGTGCTGGGTCGACAGTGTGGGGTCACAGGCCTTCCAGGTGGTCCTGGGTCTGGTGGACCCTCAACCTGGACGTGAGGGTTGCCTGAGGGAAGGGGCGGTTTCGAGGGCTCCTAAGCCCCTGGCGGGTTCCCCCTTCCTGCCAGGCTGGTTTTGGTTGCAGGGCGTGGGGCGTTGTGCTGGCTGCGTCCGGAGGGTGCCGGTCAGTCGGTGGAGCCGTGTTTTAATCCCACTGTTTTGCCTGCTAATTGTTTTGGATGGGTTTGAGCACCACCAGCGTCACCCTGGCCGTCCAAGGAGCTGTTGTGTTTTCTCTTAGGTGTCCCCTCCCGCCTCCAGACGCCTGAAGGTCAAGGCATTTCTTTTCCTTAAACCTTCTCCAGTGCCCTAAGGTCAGGCCAAGCTTTGAGGCCCTGTAATGAGCAGGAGACGGAGCCCCAAGGGGGAGACTCTCGCCCAGGGGGTGTTTCTGTGCTGGAGAGAGGGAGGCCGGGCCTCTAGCGCTCTGGTTGCCATGGCAATGGTCCCTGAGAAGCAGCAAGATGATGCTCACCTGAGAGGACCACGGGTTTAGATTCAAAATTGGGGAGATGGGGAAGGGTACGATCACAGTCGCCTTCCGTGAGCGCCCATGTGCCTGCGGCCCGGCTGGCACCCTGAGGCATCCGGAGCACTTCCCGACCCTCCTTCCCCTCCAGCCTCTTAGCAACGCCTCAGAGCGTTTTTACCCCCTCCCCAACCCACCCCCCGGTCGGCGGGTGTGCTGCGGGGGAAACCGTGGGGACCTCCCTGTCCTGGCGCTCTGCCCACCCTGCCCCGTGGCGCTCTCTGCTGAACTTGCAGTCCGGTACACGGGTACTTCTGAAGATTGGAGCCATTTTTATAAAATGTCGATCTTCCTATTAGCTTAGTTTTGCTTTATGTTTTTGTTACAGTCAAATACGTGTAACAGAATTTACCAGCTTTACCACTTGTAAGTGAACAGGTCAGTGGTGTTAAGCACATTCACGCTGTGTAGCCACCACCAGCTCCGTCTGCGGAGCTTTCTCATCCTTCCACACTGGAACTCTGTCCCCACTAAACATGAGCTGCCTCCTTCCATGATTTTTTTTTTTTTTTTTTTGAGACAAGGTCTCTGTCGCCAGGCAGGAGTGCAGTGGCCTCATCATAGCTCACTGCAGCCTCCAACTCCTGGGCTTAGGGGATCCGCCTGCCTCAGCCTCCCACGTAGCTGGGACTATAGGTGCCACCACACCTGGCTAATTTTTGAAATTTTTCGTAGAGACGGGGTCTGGCTGTGTTGCCCAGGCTGGTCTTGAACGCCTGGGCTCAAGCAATCCTCCTGCCCCAGCCTCCTGAGTAGCTGGGACTGCAGGTGCCTCCACACTCTGCTAATTTCTTTTTTAAATTTTTTTGTGGAAACGGGGTCTCGCTCTTACTCAGGCTGGTCTCCAACTCTTGGCCTCAAGCCATCCTCCCACCTCAGTCCCCCAGAGTGCTGGGATTACAGGCGTGAGCCACCGCGCCTGGCCCCGTTTGTGTTTCTCTGAAGTGGTCCTGGTGCCAGCTGTGTCCCTTCTTCTTGTTTGGGTGCTGGTTACTCAGGTGTGTTCAGTCCCCAAATCCCGCGTACTGTGCCAGGATGATGGGAGCGCTTGTCTGCGTGTGATTCCGTGTCAACACACACACACACACACACACACCCACGGCAAAGGCCTCTCTCCCACGTGTCTATCTATAATGGCTTTGTTTAAAATTGCGGTAAAATATATGTAACATAAAATTGGCCTTTTTTTTTTTTTTTACCATTTTGTCCATATAATTCAGTGGCATTAAAGTCACATTCACAATGTTGTGGGACCATCACCATCTGTTTCCAAAATTTTTCCATCATCCAAAACAGAAACGCCGTGCGCATTAAATCACAACTCTCCGTCCTCCCCTCTTAGCCCCGGTAACTTCTGACCTGCTGCGACCACCTCAGGAAAAGGAAATCGTGTATCATTTGTCCTTTTGTGTCTGGCTTCTTGCACTTAGTGTAGTGTTTTCTGGTTCATCCGTGTTGGAGTATGTGTCAGAATTTCCTTCCCTCTTGAGGCTGAATAACAATCCATCGTGTGGCCGGCCACGGTGCTCAAACCGGTGGTCCCAGCACTCTGGGAGGCTGAGGTGGGAGGATCGCTTGAGGCCAGGAGTTGGAGGCTGCAGTGAGCTGTGATCCTGTCACTGCATTCTAGCCTGGGCAGCAGGCGAGACCCCATCTCTACCAGCAACACCAACAAAAGATCCACTGTGTGGATGGACCACGTTTTCGTTTATTCCTTCATCCGTGGTGGACACTTGGGTGGTCTCCACTTTTCTCTGTTGTGAATAATGATGCAGTGGACACGGTTGCGTGTGTGTCTGTCGGAGACCCTGCCCTCAGTTCTTGGAAACGCGCTCAGGAGTGGAACCACTAGGCCAGAGATGCTGTTCCGGTTTTACTCTAGCTTCACTGGCTCCTGGGGACCCTGGGGACGAGCTGGGTGCTCCGTCTTCTGTCTCCCCCTCACACTGCGGGGCTGGCTCCGTGCGTGCGGGTGCTCTGACAGTCTGGGCCGAGCTCTGAGCTGCGCTTCCCTTTCCTGACCTCACGGGACGGGGGTTTGAACTAAGCGACTGCTGCATTAGCTTTGACCCCGGCAGGTGCTCTGGGCGGGCACGGGCCTTTCACAGTGTTTCCCGGCTGGAGGTGAAGGTCTTTGTCCTTGGGTTTGGCGACTTGTGACAGTGGCCGCTGCCTTTCTCAGCCTTGCCCCTCGGGCTCCTTGGGGTGGTCTGGTCGCCAGCCTGGGCCTCAGCACCGTTGCGGCTCAGGGTCCTTTGCTATCCTCTCCCCTCCCCCTGCGTCTGTGATGCCGTTCACTGACCTGGCCCCACAAGCGCCGGAACCTTCCAAGTCATCTCTGTTGCTGCTGCTGCCTCCCTGGGTGTGGGCTCCCGTCCACCCAAGCCCTGTCCTGCTCCGGGAGCTGCCTGTGGCTCTCCCTGGGACTGCGTAGCTCCGGGCCTGTGTGGCCGCGTGACGTGTGGCGCTGCCCTGCCCGGGCTCCCTCCCTCCCTCCTTCCCTCTCGGGGTCCCCGAAAGCACGAGGATGCTGGACGGGAGAGGTCCCCATCCCTGCTGTGACGGCGACTTGTCAGGAAAGTGAGGCCGCCTGCGTGCAGGGCACGAACTTTACTTTTCTACGTAAGTTAAAGGGTCTATTCAAAAAATTAGGAAGGATAATTTTCTCGGAAATTTGGTGCTGTGTTTACAGAGGGGTTTGCAGTGGTCTGAGTGCCTTGGGGGGCGCCCAACTCAGGGGACAGGCCCTATGTTCAATGACATCATCCTTCCCACGAGCCCAGACGTCAGGGAGGCGGCCAGCGGCGTTAGCTGCGGTCTAGCTGCGGGTGGGGGGTCAGGCCGTCTCCGGGTGGGAACCGCTGCAGCCCTCGCCCTCCGCCCCCAGGTGCCCCTGCCTGCACCGCACGGCTGGGGACACGGAGCGCAAGTACCACCTGCGCTACTACAAGACGGGCACCTGCATCCACGAGACGGACGCGCGCGGCCACTGCGTGAAGAACGGGCTGCACTGCGCCTTCGCGCATGGCCCCCTGGACCTGCGGCCACCCGTGTGCGACGTCAGGTGAGTGGGCGTCTCGGGCGGGCACGCGGGGGCCAGATGTCTCCGCGTCGCTGGCCCAGGCAGATGTGTTTCTGAGCCTTGATTTTATTTCTGACGAGGAAACAATCCCGCTCCTCGAACTGGGCGTTTCCCCCCGTGTTGGTGGCGGCTCGTTAGCATGAAGTTGCCAACAAGGGTGGACGACCCAGCGTCCGGGCGCGGCAGAAAAGGGAGTCCTTTCTCAGTAACACTCGGCTCTGCGGGTGTTGGTACTGGGGTCGGGACTGTCGTGCCAGGACAGGGCTGTGCCCGCTGAGACCCCGTCCCTGGCCCTGCAGGCAGCCGGCGTCCCTGGGGACACTGAGGCAGCTCCGTACAGTGGCAGAGCCGGTGATCATGGAGCCCTGTGTCCAGCGACCTCCTCTCCCGTCAGGAGGGGCTCAGGCGGCCGCAGTGAGCGACCACTGTGTCGTTTGGTTGCAGGGAGCTGCAGGCCCAGGACGCCTTCCAGAACGGCCAGCTCGGCGGCGGGGACGGTGCCCCTGATCTGCAGCCCGGGGTCCTGGCCAGCCAGGCCACGATCGAGAAGATCCTGGGTGAGGACCCCCGGTGGCAAGGTAACCCCGTGGCTGCCGTAGGGGTGGGCGGGGGGCCACCGTCACAGCTGCCGCAGCACCACCGGAGGACTCGCAGGAGGCTAAGGCGCAGGTGGCAGGTGGCTGGCTGGGACTTGAGCGGGGACTGGCCGCTGGGCTGAGGGGACGGCACAGCTCCTGTGACAACTTGTGGGGCGCCAGGCCTGGGGCTGGCTGGTGTCCACCTCACTCCCGCCCCGTGGCGTCCAGGTCCTGCCTTGCCCGGCGCTGTGCCTCTGCGGGTGCACCTTTCAGACGCGCGGGGTCGTCAGCGCGCGTCCCTGGGCCTGTCCCTCAGGGCCGTGGGACCCGGGATCCTGGCCAGCCCCAAGACGAGGTCACAGGTGGTGACGTTTGGGTTTTTCTTTTTATTGCGGTGGCACACGCACAGCCTCAGCGTGGGTGGTTCAGTGGCGGCCACGGCCCCCTCCGGCTCCGGAACATCCTTCACCCAGGGGAAAACCACATGCCCGGCAGCCGCGACTCCCCTGCCCGGCGCCCTGTCTCCCATGTTTGCCTGTCTTGGGCACGCCACATGGGCAGCAATGTTCTCACGCACGTCCCCAGCTTGCTTTGCTGAGGACGTTCACGTGCAGGGGCCATGGGAGCTTTTCCTAACCCTGCGCCCGCCACGGCTTCCCCTGCCCCCACCACATGACACGACGAGCCCCGACCCTGGCTGGCGCCTGGGTCTTAGCCGGGCAGTGCAGATGGGCCTGGGCCTGTGGTCGTGTGGGGCGTGGAGGAGGTGCGGGGACAGCACCCGTCCCCAGGGCCCCTCCACGTTTCGGGAGGACTCATGGGCTCGCTGCTCTGGGCAGCGGCCTGAGACCCGCCCCTTGGCCTGCCTAGGCTGGGGCCAGTGCCTGCTCTGGTCGCTTCTGTCTCCCCGTGTCCAACCCATCGGCCTCCCCACCCGGAAGGTCCTCAACCTCCCCCGCAGATGGGCACCCGGGCCCAGCGCCGCAGGTGGGAGGTGAGGGCCCCACATCTCTGCCGGGTCAGCTCAGCTCCGGAACTCTGAGCCGCAGCGAGGAAAGCGAAGGACAGTGAGGGAGAAGGGCGGTGCCGGGGCACTCACAGGACCACCTCTTTTTACACGTTCGCACCCCTCAATTGGTGTCGGAAAAAGTTCTAGTTTAGGTTTCTGGCCTCGGTGTTCAGGGTGTTCTAGACGGAGTCGAAGGCACAGAGTCTATATCTTTCTCAGGAGGAGCGGCCCAGACCGCTGCGCGGTGTTTCAGTTCGGCCTTTTGGGGCAGGGCTAGGTGTGCAGGACTGTGGCGCAGAGCACGGAGGGCTCCCGTACCCCCGTGCCCGTCAGGAGCACCCTGCGTCGAGAGCAGCCTTATCACGGCTGACGTCCGTGGTTTACACGCGGGCTCTCGGTGCTGCGTGTCCTCTGGGTGTGGACACAGGGACCGTGACGTGTGTCCTCCCCACGTCTCACGCAGAGTGGCCTCGCTGCCCTGAAAGTCCCCGTGCCCCGCTGTATGTCCCCTGCCCCCCTCCCCCAGCGCCCGGTGGCCACTGATCTTCTGCCCCCGTGGCTCTGCCTCTTCCAGAGTGTCGCAGAGTTGGGGACCCACAGGCGTGGCCTTTCCGGATCACTTCTCCCTAGCCACGTGCGTTTGAGGTTTCTCTGTGTCTTCTCCTGGCGTGGTAGCGCGTTTCCGTTCAGTTCTGCGTAGTGTTCCGTTGTTTGGATACGCCTCGGTTTGTTTATCCTTCACCTGCTGAGGGGCGTCTCCGTCCCAGACTGTTCTTAGATGCTTGTGAGCGCGACGGTGCAACGTGTGTGCTGTTTCGCCAGCAGTCTGCACGCTTGCATACGTTTAATAACGTGTTTCCTTGTTTAGCAAACATAGTTACACATTTGCATTGTATTTCTGTGTGTATTTCTCCATGTTTATTTTGCAGGGTTTGTTTTCTCTGAAGAGGCGCGAGTGCGTAGCTCATTTCTGTGGGTTCCATGTCAGCGCAGAGCCTCTCACCTGCGGGAGGCGCTTGGCCAACCCTCGTCAGCAAGTGTTTCACTACTTCTTGTTCCTTTTTTTTTTGAGACAGAGTCTCACTCCGTCATCTGGGCTAGAGTGAGTGCCGTGGCGTCAGCCTAGCTCACAGCAACCTCACGCTCCTGGGCTCAAGCGATCCTCCTGCCTCAGCCCCCCAAGTAGCTGGGACTACAGGCGCCACCACCACGCCCGGCCAACGAACTTCTCTTTTCTTAAAAGCAGCTTTTTTGTTCCCCACACTTTTTATTCTCTCTGTGCAGTGCTGTGTGTGCGTCTTCTGTTGTTTAATAAGTTATTTGAAGGTGGATTTGGTGTGGGTGGTGGTATTATAACGTTGTTTCGTCTCACTCTCTGCACCCGCCGGACTTTGCGGTTGACGCTCTTTGACCCTCACCTGACTTGAGCCCACCGCGCAGGTGTGATTAAAACAGCAGCGCAGGTAACTAAGGGGCAAGTCACCAACCATCCCAAGAAAGGGTCTAACTTTTAGGACTCCTCACCCGTTGATTATTTCTTTTAAATTACCCATTTTTTGTGGTTCTTCAAATAAAATTCCTATGACGTAAAGTTAAGCATTTTAAAAAATAGACTTTATTTTTTGTAGCAGTTTTGGGTTCACAGCAAAACGGACTGAAAATGCAGAGATTTCCCCAGCACTCTCTGCGCCCCCAGCCTCCTCTGTCGACCGCTGCGCCTCGGCAGCAAAGCCTGTCACAGCTGACAAGCAAACGCTGATGAGGTCACCTCCCGTCTGTAGTTCACGTTAGGGCCAAAAATTAACCCTTTCAAAGTGTACATTTCAGTGGCGTTTCAGTACATTCACAACGTTGTCCGACCATCACCTCTATCTGGTTAGAAAAGTGTCGTATCTCTCCAGAGAAAACAGAAGTTGGCCAGGCGCGGTGGCTCACGCCTGTAGTCCCAGCGCTTTGGGAGGCTGAGGCAGGAGGATCACTTGAGGCTAAGAGTTCGAGACCAGCCTGAGCAATGTAGCGAGACCCCGTCTCTACAAAAACAGAAACCCCACACCCATTAAACCCCCCATCCCATCCCAGCCCCTGGCAACTCTCCCGTACCCTCCGTCTCTGTGGATCTGCCTGTTGCATGTTTCATGCAAATGGAATCACACGCGTGTGGCTTTGGCGTCTGGCTCTCACTGAGCCTGGTGCCTTGAGGTTCCCCAGGGGGCGGTGTTGCCTCCCTCTGCACCGTGCTCCACCTTTCGTTTCTCCCTTCAACTGTGGATGGACACGTGGCGGTTTCCCCCGTCGGGCCGCTGTGTGCCATGCTGCCGCGAGCACGTGTACACAGACTTCTGTGTGGACTCGTTTTCCAGACTCCAACTTCGTGCTGGGCAGCTACAAGACGGAGCAGTGCCCGAAGCCGCCGCGCCTGTGCCGCCAGGGCTACGCGTGCCCCCACTTCCACAACAGCAGGGACAGACGGCGGGACCCCAGGAGGTTCCAGTACAGGTGAGCCCGCCTGGCTGACGCCACCGCATGGGAGCAGATCCCCCGGGGCAGGTGTCTGCTGTGCCGGCCCAGCCGCCCCACACTTCCTGCACCCTGGTGGCACTGGCTCCCTCCCCCACTGTGACCTGGTTCCGGAGGTGAGGGCTGCCCTTTTGGCACCATGGCCTCTTGGGAGAGGAAGTTGTCTTAAGGGCAGCGGCTTGCTGCAGGCACAACGGGGGCCTAGGGACGGGCCTCTGCACCCCAAGCACAGGGGCTCCCACGAGACCCCCAGCTGGAGCCCTCAGTCAGGCAGTGGGGGCACAGCTGGTGGACCCCGAGCCTGGCCAGGGCCCTTGTGTCTCCGTTCCCACCTACCGCTGTCATGACGACACTCCCCGGGCCATGAGGATGTGCGGCCACAGCGCTCACCCTGGGCGTTACGACGCTTCTGGCTTTCTGGGGATGTGGGATCGACTCTGCGTTCAGAGCTGCGGGGCCCTCAGGCTGAGTCCTGGGCCAACAGCCTTAGCGCACCCTGGGGTGACTTGGCAGCTTCCCCTCCTCCGGGGCCCTGACCGTCCTCTGGGCTTGGGCCTTGCTGGGCTGTGCCTGCCCCCGCCACGGCTGTGCCCTCCTTGTCACAGCCACCCTCTGTCTGCCCCCAGCTCAGCCCCCTTCGGGTTTGCAGGCTGCACCTGGGGGGGCTGGGCCACAGGACCCCCAGGCTATCCCGTGCCTGGGCCCCCACCCCCCTCCTCCTGCCCTGTCTTCCGTGTCCAGCTTTTTCTGTGGGCAGAAGAAAGAGCCGCGCTCTCCTCTTTCTGATAATGAGGCACCGCCTTGCGTGCCCAGGACGCCGTCCTTCCCGCGGGGGGCGGGGGAGGTGGCGGGACGTGTGGCTGCTCGTGCACGCGTTGCACTTTGGCAGCAGTTGGGAGTTGTGGGACCTGCGGTCTCATGGAACAGAGGGCTGAAGCTCCTGGTCTCTGGGTTGTGGTCACGGAGCGTCACCCTGACGGGACGGTGGATTTACTGCAGGGTGGAGGGATAGAAGATTATTCAAAACAGTCTTCTCTCCCACAGCTTCCAGAAAGTGCACAAATAGAGGATATTGGTAACTCTCAACATTTGGTTAGGATTTTCAAATCGTGCGATCGAAAGCCTCGAGTCCCGCTTTGCATCGGGACGCAAGGCGACGGAGCCCCCGTGGCCGCTCGGCCGCTTCCCTGCAGCTCTGTCCCCGCGGCGCTGTCCCTGTGGCTCGGGCGGCCCCGACTCAGACTCACGTTAGCGTTGTGAGAAGTGGACACGGGGCTCCTAACCACTTCCTGGCGTTAGACGGGCAGGGGCCACTTCCGTCCCCCTCGAGCAGGGACGTGTCAGGGGCGTGTCCTTGTTGCCCCATGACGCGTCCTCCTCCCCAGGTCCACGCCCTGCCCCAGCGTGAAGCGTGGGGACGAGTGGGGGGAGCCCTCGCGCTGTGACGGCGGCGACAGCTGCCAGTACTGCCATTCGCGCACGGAGCAGCAGTTCCACCCCGAGGTACGTCCCCGTCCGGTTGATAGGACTCGCGGGACGGAGAAAGCGATCATGTTCACGGTAGGGCCCGTTGCACCAGCCAAGGCAGCCGCGTGGGGGCCGGGAGAGACCAGCCCCCCTTCCAGGTGTCCCTCCGGGCGAATCTCGGTGCGCTCCATCCTCCCTCAGCGACATGTGACTACACGTGGCGGTCGCCAACCAGGGACCTCCCTGGAGCCCTGGTGTCCGGGTCTCTTATTTGGGTTTGGTGGTGCAGGCCTGGCTGACCGCCCTGCAGCTGGCCTGAGTGTCCGGCACCCCAGGGTCAAGCGGCCAGGACGTGGCCCCAGCCTGCTCACAACTCTGACACAAGGAGAACCGTCTGGCCCGGCCCTCCACCCCTCGCACACAGGGACACACACTGGGCAGCTCAGGCCAGGGCCTCAGAGGTCAGCCCCAGGGCTGGGCCGGCGCCTGTCCTTTGCAACGTGCAGGGTGCGGACAGCCCAGGCCTGCTGATTTCACTCTGTGCTGCATGGTTGCTAATCAGAGCATGCTCAGATTTATGTTTAAAATGAACAAGCAGCCAGCACGGTGGCTCCTGCCTGTTGTCCCAGCTACTTGGGAGGCTGAGGGGGGAGCATGGCTTGAGCCCAGGAGTTCAGAGGCTGCAGTGAGCTGTGATGACACCACTGCACTCCAGCCTGGGTGACAGAGCAAGAGCCTGTCTCAAAAAAAAAAAAAAAAAAAAAACAAACAAGCAAATGAGCCCCTTTAGGGCCCCAGAGGTGGCAGGAGAGCTGTGGGGACCAGGAGCCGTGGGGTGCAGGGGCGTCCTTCCCGCCAGGGTCTGGCAGGTGTGCCGTCCCCAGCCCTTCCCCAGGAGGGAAGCGGGAGGCAGGAGTGGGTTTGGCATCTGACGGGGCCTCCAGGCAGGTCTGTCCCTTCCTGAGTCCTCAGCGCTGTTGACCCCTGAGAGCCACGTGGGGAGGTGGCAGCGGGTCTGGTCACGGGACAGGTGTGCGTGTCCGTTTAACAGGCACCTGAGCACCTGCTGTGTGTCAGACACGGAATCGGGCGCGTCTCTCGGAACACGTCAACAGCCTCACGCGTGCACCTGTTCCTGGCTGGCCGGCTCTGTGGAGGAGGGATTTGGGGACCAAGGGTGCAAAGCTGGGGGGCGGCGTCCACACTTCTCTCTCCAGGCGACTCTTGTCGTGATCTGGAGCTTAGCTCTCTATGTGACGACAGAGCCAGCTCTGGGCTCCCCCAGAAACCCATGTCCAATCCGGTCTCTCCTATTCCACTTTTGTTTCCCAGATCTACAAATCTACGAAGTGCAACGACATGCGCCAGACCGGGTACTGCCCGCGCGGCCCCTTCTGTGCTTTCGCCCACGTTGAAAGTGAGTAACCAACTCCCGACACGACGCGATCTCTGCTGCCACACGTAGCCACGTCGGGTTTAGCGGCTCCGCAGACTGTCACTGGAGTTTCTGCCCAGAGCAGGGGCTGAGGACCGGGAAAGCGGGTGGGAGCTCAGGGTCGTGGCGGGTGCTGGGAGCGCGACAGACTGGCCCAGGCAGAGGCCTCCGCGTCTGCCATGGCCCAGGCTGTGCGGAGCCCAAGGGAGCCCTGCCGTCGGGCGCCGGGCCTGGCACGGGAGCCTCGCCGACACTAGAGCCCTGAAGGCAGGGCTGGCTGGTGGCCTCGTGTTTATGTCCCTACGATGAGGGCTGAGCTCTGGGGACCGTGTGGCCCATGACAAGGTCCCAACGGCAGAAACAAACCCCTGGGACCTGCGCGAGGAGTCGGCCTTTCCTCGACCTCTCAAGGTTTCTTTCCCGGCTGCGGAGCTTGGCCCCGGGTTTGTGGGTGCAGTTGCCAACTCGCATTTTCTTTCCGTTTTGTGCTTTGGTGGGAAGCGCGGCTTCTGTCGTCCACGCTTTAAGCTTGGTTGTCAGCGATAAAACTGTTAGAAACTTGAATCTAAATGTCCTGCTGCTCCGGACAGTTCATGTCGCTATTCCAGCTGCCCCTACCTGCAGGAGGACTGCCGTTTCGCGCCCAGAGCTCTCAGTGCCTAATGTGGGGGGTTGCGGGGCCAGCAGCGCCCCTCAGACGTTGCTCCCCTTTCTCCGCAGAGGGCCTTGGGGCCGCGAGCGACTGGGGCGGCCGCGACCTCGGCTCCACCAACAGCTCCTCGGCCAGCAGCAGCCAACCCGGAAACGTAAGTGGACGGCGTTCCCAGGAGGACGCCCAGTGTCGTTTGGTTTAATTGAACTGCCAGGAGCACAGATGGCCGTGATCTCTACGATCTCTGCCCGTGGCGTTGGCGGCTCACTCTAAAAGAGTCTAGAAAAATCCCAGCCATGTCCTTGCTGGGCCGGAGCAGGGTGAGCGCCCACACAGCTGTGAGAGGTCAGTCTCGGTGGCGGCTGGGTGGCCGCAGTCCGGGTGGGCCCCCTCGCGGGGCTGGCCACCCAGGCGGGCACTGAGGCTCCTGCACGTGGGTGCTGTCGGCGCGGGAGTGACACCGGCCGTGCTCTGCGTCACTTTCCTCCACGTGGGTGCACGTCCCCAACACTCAGCAGCACGAGCACACGGCGTGCTGGAGCAGACGCCTGCGGCCCTGGACACCAGGCTTTCCCCGACGGTGTCGGGCACGCGCGCCTTGCTTTCGCGGAGCGTTTCTGAGCCTGCGGCCTCGGAAGCCTGAATACGAGGAGGCGTCGGGCTGGGATGCGCTTGCGCAGTGCTGACCGTCACGCCCAGCTGGCCTTGGGCCCCTTGGGGGCCTGCCAGGTTCTTCCGGGGGGTGAAAGGGTGTTCTGGGCCACGGGGTTCTGCCGTAGCCGCGCCAGGAGCTCGGCAGGTGCAGGTGTCCCCCCTCCGCAGCCGGCGGGGCTCCTGGGGCCGCAGCTTAGGTGCCGTCGGGGTCATTAGCAAGCGCTGAGCTCCCAGCCCCCGAGGGAGGACCAGGAACGAAGGGGCCGTGTTTGCTTCGTGCTCTTTTGCACCTAGAAAGTCGCTCTGTGCCGCAGTGGCTGTTCGTGTGGACTCCTGCGGTGGTGACTGGGCACTGGGGACCCGCCCGTAACCGATATTCGGAAATAAGCTGGTGCCAGTTTTTGCTCTAAGAGCTGCTCGAGTTAGATGGGAACGTCCTCGGCAGTGCATGGCGGTGTGACCGTCCCCAGCCGAGGCGGCGGGTCTGGCTGTGTTGGGCTTGACCCCGGCCAGCGGGCAGGTCCCGGAAGTCTCTGGAAGTCTCTCCGACCACACCCAGGATGCAGGCATGTGTCCCGTCGCACAGAGCTTCTCGTTCTCTGCTGTTCGTTCTTCTCCTCCGTCTGTACTGTTGATTATAAATTCCCAGTCCTCTCGGACAGTCCAGCTGAGTGGCTGGAGCCGGACACGCAGATCACGAGCCTCCTGACACCCCCGACTCTCTCCTGGAGTCCTGAGTTCAAATCCCTCGTGTAGGAGAGGCCAGGGTGGACCCGGCCCTTCTGCCTGAACACGTGGTGCCCGGACGTCCCTCTGCAGGGTCAGGCTCATTTAGACCAGGTGGGCGCCGTGGGGCCTCAGGGCCCAGCCCCAGGAGCGGCGGTGGGCAGGGCCGCACCTGAACTTGGCCGCCTGTGGGTCCTCAGTTACATGAGGTGATGTGCACATAGCCACGTTTAGCCAATTTAAAGTGAGCAACTCGGAGGCATCGAGTGCGTCCACAGTGGTGCACAGCTGCCGGCCCTGTCCAGGTGGGGACGCGGCAGTGGGCTATGCTGCTGTCATCGTCCTTCCCCAGGGGGACGGGCAGAGGGTCAGGAGCGGAACCGAGGAGGAAGTTACATCTGCTAAGAAGCGCTTACTGTGGGCTGGGCACTTGGGGAGGCTGAGGCAGGAGGATCGCTTGAGGCCAGGAGTTCAAGACCCACCTGACCAACATAGTGAGACCCCATCTCTACAAAAGAAATTAAAAAATTTTAAAAAGTGCTCACTAACAGGATTTGAGCAGTGCCAGCCGCCAGAGCTGGGAGTATATTCTGAACGCCAGCAGAGCTCAATTTAGGGATATCCTGGGTTTCTTCGTGACATAAGTTAGCCACTTGTTTGTTTGTTTATTTATTTATTATTATTTTTTGAGACAGAGTCTCGCTCTGTTGCCTGGGCTAGAGTACAGTGGCATCAGCCTAGCTCACAGCAGCCTCAAACTCCTGGGCTCAAGCGATCCTCCTGCCTCAGCCTCCCAAATAGCTGGGGCTACAGGTGCCACCACACCCAGCTAAGTTTTCTGTTTTTAGTAGAGACGGGGTCTCCCTCTTGCTCAGGCTGGTCTCGAACTCCTGACCTCAAGCGACCCTCCCGCCTCAGCCTCCCAGAGTGCTGGGATCACAGGCGTGAGCCACTCCGCCTGGCCTATTTGTTTGTTTATTTACTTCAGAGATGGGTCTCAAACTCCTGGCCTCGGTAACAGAGCCTTGATGCCCTGGTCTTTGGTCAGCCGCTTTGAAGCTCTTCCCCGAATCTGTGGGTCACTGCCGGGTGGGAGGACTGCAAAGGTCACCCCAGGAGGAGTGCAAAAGTGACCTCAGGTTTCTGCAGCCAGGCAGCAGGTGAGAGGGCTGTGCAGTGTGGAGGCCCTGCCCAGGTCGGCCCTTTTTAATCCTCTGCCCATGGTCACCTGAGAAGCCTCCGTGATCCTGCTGGGCCCATCCACAAATCCAGACACCAACAAGGGAAGGCAGACAGGACGACCCAGGCAGCCACCACACTTATAAAGCTGGGCGTGAAAGTCAGCGCTGCTCACACCCGGAGCACGTCTGGTCTGCAGCGTTTGTGTCCGCGTCTGAGGGAACGGCTGAGACCTATGGACCTGTGCCGGGCGCTTTTCCTGGAAGGTGGTGCGCCAGGGTTTTGCATGTGTAGGGAGGAAGGAGCCTTCTCCTCCACCTCTCGGGCTCCGTGTGTGGGGCCTGCAAATTAAACTGGTACAAGATTACGGGAGCAAAGGTTTGTTATGCAGAGGCTTCCTAGGAAAGAAGTCAAGCCCCCAAGGAGCCGTGAGGCCTGGGGCTTGTTGCCATCTTAACGCAGAGTGAGGAGCTGTAGAGAAGTGATGGGGTGGAGGGAAGGGGACCTGGGTGTGTAGGGGCAGTAAATCGTGGGAAGGGAAATGCGTGGGAGAAACTCGCGGGAGGTCAGGATCACTTCAGTGAGGCCTGTCTCGCAGGCTGAGTCTGCGCAGTGCTGGCGCGTAAGTGTCTCTCCCCTCCAGCTGGGGGCACCTTCCCAAAGGGAATTCACACCTGCTTTGAGGCAGAAAGAGGCAGAGGGCCGTTCCCGTTCTGCCGTCTCTCCACCGCCTTCAGCCCGAATAATCTCTATGCCAGAGACGCGTATTTCGGGGCGGCAGACTCACGCATTCTCACGTACACCTCAGTGTTTCCTACAGTCTCAGCCTAAGCCTTTGCCTCAGGTGTGTGGCTTTGGGGTTTGACGACATTGTCGGTTCAGGGTGCGTGGGCCTCACACTCTGCCTTCACGCAGATGGGCCCAGAATGTCGTAGATTGATGTTCATGCAGAAGAACTGGAATTTGGGAGAACTAGCAGGTGGCAGGTTTTATGCGACCTTCAAGAATTAGCATTTTAGGCCAGGCATGGTGGCGGGCACCTGTAATTCCAGCTACTCAAGAGGCTGAGGCAAAAGGATCGTTTGAGACCAGACTGGGCAACATAGTGAGACCCTGTCTCAAAAAAAAAAAAAAAGAATTAGCATTTTCTAAGTTCTCAGCAAAGCTGAGGTCTTTATGTATATTTTTAATTGACGTTTTCTCCCTGCTCTTTTCCCCAACGTGAGTATTTCTTCTGTTGCAGGCAAAGCAGAGAGATTCGCCTGCGGAGGGCGGCCAGAGAGCCGGTGGGCAGGACCAGCAGGTACCATCCCCAGGAGGCTCCGTGGTCTGTGCGACCACACAGCGCAGCCTTTTAGGGTGTTTTTACACATCCCTGGCCACACTCGCCCTTGACTCACAACTTCACCTGGTTAACGTGGGCGTCTGTTACGTAATTAGTTTTCACTTGTACCGAGTCTCTGTTTAGTGTTTGAAACATTTGTGTCGTACTTTGGAAACAACAAAACCAAAACCTCCTAATGTTTTCTCCTGAGGGGAAGTCTAGGTGTCGGGGTTGCCCTCGGGCATCACAGAGAAGCCCGCGGGCCAGGCGCCTAATGACGCGATTTCCTCCCGGTCTGGCGGCCCGAGCTCAGGTGCCGCAGGGCCGGTCCCTCCCGAGGCCTCTCTCCGCGGCTCGCATGGCCCCGGGGTCCTCCCGGGCTCGTCCCTCTGTACGAGGACGTCCCTGGTATCTCGTCCTCTAACAAGGACGACAGTAGGGCCACCCGCACGCCCTCTCAGGCCCTGGCTTGGGGGCGGGACACGGTTCCGTTCGTAGCAAAGACATCCGCTAACGGACACATGTGCTCTCTGCTTCCACGGGTTCGAGGTTCCCTAGAGGCTCAAATTCACAGAAATGGAAAGTGGCCCGGTGGTCGCGGGGCTGGGGGGGAGGTTAGTGTTTAACGGGAACAGAGCTTCAATTTGGGAAGAAAGTTCTGGAGATGGGAGGTGGTGACGGCTGCACAACAGTGTGAGAGTATTACACTTAAAGCCACGGAACTGTGCACTTAAAAATGGCTAAAATGGTGAATTTTATGGTATGCATGTTGTGCTACAATAGAAAAGAGAAAGAAGGAAACCAGGCAGACAGCGCTGGCGTCGGGGGCGTATGGGGGCCTGGTGGCCCTGGTGGCCCCCTCTGGCCCTGCCTCGCTGTGTCCACCTCTCCTACTGGTGGAGACCCCACGAGTGACCTGTCTGTGGCCATCGTGGCCTTGGGGTAAAGTGGCCCCGGACACCTTCACGGGGCATCTTCCTCCAGTGCGATGATTTTGGGGATGAAGTCACAACGTCCCCCCGCCGCCGGCTGCCAGGCAGGGTCAGCGCGGGGCTTGGGGCCCACTCAGGCCTGAGGCGTCTTCCTTGGTCCCTCTTGGTTTGTGGCACCAGATGGGCTGCCGGGGAGAACCCCCAATACGGAGCTGCCCCCGCACACACGCAGGAAGGAGGGAGGCGCCCCAGGGCCCCGGCAGAGTCCCAGCTTCCCAGGCTGCCGCGCTCGCCCTATGCCCTGGTCTAGGCTGTGCCTCGAGGAGCCTGAGACCCCGTCTGAGCGCAGGGTCCGGCCTGTGCACAGCCCTCGGGCCGGAGCTTGGGTGGGCTTGGCATCTGCGTCGTGCCGCACTGCTGGTCCTCTGCATTCTCGGGCTCCGCTTTAAAGACGCAGAGGGGACAGGGTGACAGGGTGACAGGGCTCCCTCTCCGACCGGAGGCAGCGCAGACCTGCTCTGTGAAACCAAGAACTGCAACCGACTCGTAGCCGAGCCTGGGACCCTCTGAGGGCGACAGTCTCTCCCTTATTTGGGAAGAGGCGCCTGGGCCCTGGGCCAGGTTCTAGACTCAGATTCAGGCCCGGCTGACGTGCGAAGAGGGTGGGTGGGGTGGAGCGTCCGCAGAAGTGGCCGTGAGCCAGGACCACCTGGTGGCCTCTTGTTGACTGGTCAGGAGGGGGTGTCCAGGTTGTCCTTGGGGGGCCTCAGCTTGGCCGGGCAGGGTCGGCTCGTTTGTGTGGGTTGTGCCCCCACCCTGGACCCCTGGCGACGGAGGGGCCTGCACAGCACCCGTAGCCCCCGTGGGTGGGGCGAGCCCCGCAAGCTGTTGATTTGGAGTCACAGCGGCCAGACGCGGTTACTGCGCACTGACTCCCCCTGGGGACCCGTCTCCTCGGCCTGTGGCCCGGGCGGCCCTGTCCTTTGCAGAGAGAGAAAGTCAGTCCTCTCTCTGACCCAGGCCCTGTCGGAGCATCAGGAGCTTCTGGGTCTGCCATTCGGGAGGCCCTTCCCGGCCCCGTCATGTGGCTGCACCGGCACGAAGGTCCCCCCTGCCCCCTGACCCAGAGCAGCTGCTCCCACCAAGGTACCCAGCAGGGATAGAAGCAACCTGGCGGCAGGTTTTCCCTGAGATGGGGGAGGCCCCGGACTCGTCCTGCCATCTTTCTGGGCTTCCTCCTCTGGAGCGTGGGGCTTCCAGCAGCCGTCGCGCCGGGGCCGGCTTAGGGTGGGGCGTCCGCAGGGCTGAGCTGGGCGCTGTGGGTGGGCCGCCCGGCTCGGGCACAGGCCTCACTGACTCTCCCTGGAGAGAAGAGCAGGGTGGTCCATGGGCAGGGTGGGCAGCGTGCACCCGGTGGCCTGTGTGGAACCTCCACAGGGCAGCAGCTCCCTCCAGACTCCTGGGCATTGGGGACTGCTTCCCAGATCAGTCACAGGGTCTCTGTGCGCTTGGTGCATGAGTGAAGAGCTGATCTGTCACCCAGAGCGAAGCCGTGGCGGGAGGAGGAGGCTGGGCTAGGAAACGTTCGGGAGGAGCCGGTGTGCGCCAGGTTCTGTCCCTTAGGGAATGCCCGTCAGTGTTTCTCAGGGTGGACGGTTTTGCTTACGCTGACAGACCAGTAAAATCACCCCTCCCCCAAGACCTGCCTTGTCGCACCTCCTGCCCAAGTTGACTATTGCTGCGTTATTTCGAAGCAAATTGAAGGTGCTACACTGTTTCAACTACAAACATATTTCAGTATGAAATTCTTTTTTTTGAAACAGGATCTCGCTTTGTCACCTGGGTGGGAGTGCAGCGATGTCCGCTTAGCTCACTACAGCCTCAAACTCGTGGGCTTAAGCGATCCTCCTGCCTCAGCCTCCATGATAGCTGGGACTACAGGCACCACCACACCTGGCTAATTTTTCTATTTTTAGTAGAAACAGGGTCTCGCTCTTGCTCAGGCTGGTCTCAAACTCCTGGCCTCAAGTGATCCTCCCACCTCGGCCTCCCAGAGCGCTGGGATTACAGGCCTGAGCCACCGCACCTGGCCTGAAAATCATTTTAATGTAGTTTTAGACTCTTGATTCTATAGTGACCTCGAAGTTTGCCTTTTTAGACACAGCTGCTGTGTGACACCTGCCGTGCATCTCTGTTGCGGTTCATTTTTCTTGCGTAGTGTCCTCTGTGGGGTACTCAAGGTCGTGCTGTGAGCTGGTTCTTTATTACCCATCAGAGAGAATGTGACTCGCCCCATTTTCTACTTTTCTTGGGGAATGAGGTCATAGGACCATTTCAGCCATGTTTTCGGAAGTGGTGCAGGCTCTGTGCTTACGGCCCTGGGAGGATGTGTCTCTGGGGGCCCCGGAAAGTGCTCAGCAGCTTGGGGAGGGGAGGGCGGCCCTCTGGGACACCCGGGGAGGTGGGGGAAGGGCAGGCAGGTGGGGGGCTTGTCCTCGTCGCCTGGGTCGCCTGGCTGGCCCCTGGCTTCTGACACCTCTGTCTGTACCGCTGGATCGATCTTTCCTGGCAGATGTCTGCTTTCGAAAATCATTTTCTGCAGAGAAGCTCATGAGACGCTCTCTAGACGAGTGTTTCCTGTGCTCGTGTGACTGAGCTGACCCTGCCAGCTCGTGTCAGCGACAGCTAAGGTCCCTTTGCAGTGCTGGGAAGACTCCCCTTGTGTTTTGCCTGGGGCAGAAGGTGACCACCGACCCCTCCGGTCTCTGCCCCAGTTCCCACTTGCCATGCCAATGCCCGCTGCCTCCGTGCACGGTGTTTGCTCATCGTGTCTGTGTGTCTTTGAACAGAACCACCTGGCTGTGTTCGCCGTGGTCCACCCGCTGGCTCCCAGCGTGAGCTCCAGTGTGGCGTCCAGCCTGGCGTCCAGCGTGGGCTCAGGCAGCTCCTCCCCCACCGCTCTGCCCGCCCTCCCCGCCCGCACCCTCCCGCTGGGCCCCGCCGGCAGCGCCGTGGAGGCTGTGCTAGGTAAGTCCAGCGCCTTCCTCTTTCCTCCCGCTCACTCTCTTTTGTGCTTTTCTATTTCTTAGAAGTGGCTTTTCTGTTTCAGGACACATTGCAAAATGCCCATTTTTGTAGAAAAGCCAGATGTGTGGTTTTGGTCACCCGTCACCTTGGCTGTGTTGTGCGTGTGGTCATGAAAATGAGGCCCGACTTGCCAAGAGGCTCAGGGGCTGCGTGCCGCGCCCAGGCGCCCAGGCCACCCAAGCGCCTTCCCGCCCCGAGACCACCGGAGTGGGGAGGCTACTGAGCGAGGAAAATAGGAATTGTGGGACCAGCGAGGGCACCTCAGCTGGGGGGATGGTGACAAGGGTGTGGAGGGGAGCCAGGATGGGCCCTGGAGCCGGTGGGCACAGCTGCCAGCTTTGGGAGGTCTTTAGCTGCTGGGGGTTTGGGGACAGATGACACGTGATTGGAACTGGGCTAGGGGTCCCCTTTGGGGCCTGACCAGGAGCCCAGGGATGTGGGGAGGTCCTTGCAGAAGTTCAGGGTCGGGCAGGACAGGGCAGAGCTGGTAGGCGAGACAGCGCTGGGGGCTGTGGTGCACTTGGCCCCTTTCAGCCCCCCGCAGAGGCCACATCTGGGGGTGGAGGACACCGCTGCGCTGTGGGGGGCTTTGTTTGCACAGGTGCTTGGTGAGGGGTGGGACGCTCGGAAGTCCCATGTTACAGGACGCCTAGCGCCAGCCGACCTGACCTGCGTCTCTGTCCCGAGTGGGGAGCTCGGGGAAGGCCTGTCTGCCCCTGGCTGGCTGGGCCCTGCTCAGCCCCGCGTTCCTCTGGGGTAGATGCCCACCCTTCCCATTCTTCAAAGGGTCCCTTCTCCAAAGCACTGGGACCTTCCGAGGCCGGAAGGCACATGTACCCCTCACGGCCTCTGTTGCATGTCCGTTTCATCTGAAGAACCCTCTAGACTCAGAGCTTGACCTCCCTCAGGAAGCTGTGGGCAGAGCGGGCATCCGGATGGACCCGCTGTCTCCCTGTGCTGGGCCCCAGGCGCTGGGACCTCACTGTCTGTGAGCACACCGGCTGCGCGCTGCCGGGACGCTCCGACGCTGGTGCTGCCTCCCGAGGGCAGCCTCCGCCCTGGCCTGGAGGTCTCCGCTGGGTTCCCGGGCAGGGCTCAGACTTCGCCCACTTCGCCCTCTGGGAGGTTGGAAACCGCCTCGCGGCATCCTCGTAGGAGCAAACGTGCACGTCAGATGGCTCCGTTAGGGCTTTGCTCTAGCGGACAGTTTCTTCACACTGAAAGTACTTCGTGGGTGGTGCCGGTGCGGATGTTCCCTTGTACGCAGAAACAAACCCAAGTGTATTTTATCTCAGCCTGAAATTAGTGCTCTTCCTCTAGCGGTCTCATGAATTGAACGTGTTAGTTGTCACACGAAATCGCCATTGTAAATAGGCGTCATCACTTGAGGTCCCGGCTGGTGCCTCAGTTCACCTGTCCCTGCCGGAAAGTCAGCATGGGGCACGTGTGCGCAGAAAGGCCTCCTCTCTTCCCACTCAGACGTGGGCTGAGAAGCCATGGGCCTGAATGGCATGTCTTAGGATTTTATTTTCTTACAGATAAGCACAAATTCTGTTTTTTAAATAAAGTTCATCTTCCTCAATAGAAAAGTGGAAATGGTAGCATTCCAGCGTAACAGAAAAGTGGTCAGGAAAATGAAGTCCCTGCCCCAAACCAGCGAGACTGCTTGATTCTGCTCCCCTGAGTGAGAAGTAGGACTAGGTGCCCAGGCGCTTTGCGGGGGCATGGCCGGGCCCTGCAGACACACTACAGCGAGGTGTTGGCAGTGATTTTCCCAGCTGCTACTTAGTATCTACAGCATGTCCGGGCTGGGGTGCCGTGGCGTCAGCCTCCCTCACAGCAACCTCAGACTCCTGGGCTCGAGCGATCCTCCTGCCTCAGCCTCCCGAGTAGCTGGGACTACAGGCATGCGCCACCATGCCCAGCATTTTTAGTTGCCCAGCTAATTTTTTTTCTACTTTTTGTAGAGACAGGGTCTTGCTCTTGCTGAGGCTGGTCTCCAACTTCTGAGCTCAGGCAGTCCTTGTGCCTCGGCCCCCCAGAGTGCTGGGAATACTGGCGTGAGCCAGGCGCCGGCCTGGAAGTGCAGGTTCCTAAAGAGGTGTGCCTGGCTAATTCCCCAGCCTGAGAAACCTGGAACTGACCTCCTGCTGTCACCGAGAGGCTTTCACTGACTTAACTATTTCCTGTACCCCCTGGGAGGTGAAGAGGTGGGTTGTTGCCTTTCTTTACAGACAGAGGTGGTTGAAATCGTGAGCGTTTGCCATCAAATCCGTTGTTCCCCGACCACTCCCTGAGTCCTGGCTGAGGAGTTTGTTCAGTCAGAGCACACGGCCTGGCCTGCTTGTCTGAGTGGCTGTTCTGCAGGGTTTGGGGTGAGGCGGCAAGGACGGACGGGTCGTGTTTTCTCGTACTGCAGCTTCACTCAAGTCATGTCATCTCTTAAGCACAAATGAGAACAATGAGTAAGCTGCAGTACGGCGCTCTTTTCAGGCCGATTCTGTGTTTAAGGATCTAGAATCATTTCTGGACCATTGGATCGACTGCATGTTTTTTGGCCATCCACTGCACACTAGGTTTTAGGTTAAAACAGTGACCCGCGAGCAGAGGGAGGAGGAGAGGGGCTCGCTGCGGGGGCAGGGCGGGAGTGCGTCCCCGCGTTCGTCCTGTTGCCGCTGGTTGCTTCCTGCAGGCGCAGGTGCAGGTGGGCAGTGCGGGGGAAGCCGGGCCGCGGAGACCCCTCCACCTCCTGCACGAAAGGAGGCTTGGTCCAGCGAGCGTTCCCCGTGCTGCCTGCGTGTCAGCTGGGCCCGACACCCCCGGGACGTCGCCTCGCACGGCACAGAACAGGTGCTGGTGCAGCGACACGGCGCGCCACCCCCTGCGGGGCCAGGCCTGTCCTCCGAGGAAGCCGAGCGGGGGGCGGGGCCAGCGGGGGCCGTTTGGGGG